CTGTTTGACTTACAATCAGTGACGACTGACGCTGTCAACAATAGTCCATGGATGTCTCTTCTTTACTAGCTTGTCATCTTATTTTGTAGCATGTGATTTCTTCTACAACTATCGCCGACGGTTTGCTGCGTGCTTTCAAAAGAAAGTGTGAGAATGTGGGATAAGAATATCTGAGGAAGTGCCGCGAGCGGGCTACCCAACACCATGTTGGTGAGGTACGATTTACCTAGCTGAAAGAGCTCGGTCATTCATCCGCACCGGATCACAAGTGGGAACCCCGTGCTCAACATCCCCTGCAATCGCTAGCCAGTTTAGATCAATCGATCCTAGATATACTGATAGCCTATCAACTGTATCTTCGAACCTCGTCGCTTCTGATTTTGATTTCACCGAGTGGTCACGATTCAATTATGGGCGTTACAGGTTAAGGCGCTGTCAAACTACAATTACTTGTGGTATCTTTAGTTCAAATGACGTTTAAATAACTCGCCTTTTTAGATCACTTTCAGCCTTAGTTCGGAAAGAACAAGAGCTAAGTAGCGTAAGATAGTCCTGAAAATAGTAGCCTATTAGTTGGCTCAAATTCAATGATATGACAGACAGAGCTTTTATCACGTGTTGGAGTAACGCGTTCTAGCAGTGAATGAATCTATGGAAAAATTAATAGTCATCAGACAAGCAATTTCTTCCGGGCTTGTGAACTATTTTAAGGTGTCATCGTAAATTATGTTTTAAGAGGAAAGAAAAACAGAAGCAAATCGGAGGCAAATTTTTGCTTGGGCAGCCTAAAAAACTGTGGTCAAGTTTTATATGGTACTTCTATGTAACAAGTAGTATATGTACGGTTTATCCGGTCTGTTGTTACCCATGCATCTACTGCTACCACCCTAACATATCTATATAAGCCCTGCATTGTGGGTGGACTTACCCTTTGCGCATATTCGAGTCCTGGAACTCACTGGCGGCAGTTGATCAAGCGACTTCCATATAGGGCGCTTGATATATACTTGAGGACTCCAAACAGTAATTTACTGTAATTTGTTATTATTGCTTTTTTTCCTGCCAAATATACCTGGATCCCTGGATGAGAGCATCAGTCGTCCACAGCTATTAGGTACGAAAAGATGATACTTGAGCTCAGGCCCCTGTTTCTTTCTTTACCACTTGAACCGTCCGATCTTTCTTGAAGGACGGAAATAAACATCAAAGCTTTCCAGGAAGGGATTATACAGATAACTAGTTCTTTTGCAGAAGATATTTGCTTGAATTTTCATTCCGAGCTCGTACATCTATTTTGAATAGATAACATTGTAAGTGTAGTTATGAAATGAAGTATATCGGCAACTCGTTCATGTGTAAAAAGTGATAAGCAGTGTAGTGCACACTTATCACTTTCACTCTAATCCTTTTTGTATCTCATAGGTTGCGGACTGAAAGCTGACGCCGACTCTTACTTCTAGGTGGTTGTCTAGATTACCAACCACACCAAATAAATGCCATTCTATCCTTTCTGGATAGATCACATACAGATTCGTTAGACGAATAATATTCGGTTGTTTTTAATTCTGGATGAGCTCTTCAGTTCACTATCAAAAATGCACAACCCCAGTCAATACAAGCAACATAGTCAGAGGATGAACAAACAAATATGGCTGCCATCAAGACTAAGTATCAACTAGAACAACATAAATGCAGTTTGGGAAGAAACAGGTAAGCTCAGTAAAAGCGTAAGGAAAATAAAACTATGATAAAATGCGAACGTAACCATCCCGAACAGAATCAAACATACTAGCAAAACGTACAACTGAAGGAATCAATATGATTAAATTACAAGTGTATACATGGGGGGGGGTCACACACAAAACGTTCGAAATGGATCTTGCAATCACTGTCTCAGATCTAACAAAGTATTTTGATACACTCCCAAAACAACTAATCATTGATATCCTAGTTAAAGCCTGTTCATCAAATAACCTACCAACATCCATAGCCTAATTTCCAGGGGCTACCTCAAAGACACCAATCATTACTCCACCGTTCCGAGCAGAGTCAGGCAAAGCAACAGAGGGATTTACTCTCCCCAATTTAGTCTTTCAGCAAATCTGAAATTAAACGATAGACCGTATTACGATGGGAATATCCCTAAAGGACGGACAAACTGTAACCTGGAAAATCTCACACATAGAGTATGCTGATCATCTATGCTTGATAACCTCCAGTAGAGAAGAGGCTACGGATCCACTGAGCACATAACAAAGATGTCTAGGACCCAAAAGTATGGGGACATCTTCAAAATCCAAAGTGTTAATATAAAAAAGCCAAACGACTAACCAAACATCACTATACAAAAGACCAATCAGAAGAATCCAACACATTCAACAATTTCGGTTAACAAAAACAGTAACCCATTGATGCAATAACAACCAACACTGCTAGATCTAACGTGGTTCTAATCATAATTCGCCCAATACTAAAACGCATAACGGTAAAACTTAGCACTAAAATTATACTGGTGGCTTTTTTGGCAATCTATAGCATAATATATATACATGAATCAATAGAGCCAAGAAAGAAGGACTAGCAACGGCTGAAAACAGTCTCAAACACCACATGGTGTACGATACTTGGCATTTACGGTCGCCGAACACTAACCAAAGAACAACCACACACCGAAATCTCTCTTCCAATCACAGCAAAAAAGATAATGTGAAACAGGTTCAAGATGCGTTGCATCGCACACAAAAGACCTAATGACATAATGGTGTTGTCTCTAAGCAGTCACATAAAAGACCCAAGCAACAATTGTAAACCGCATATGAAACATCGGTCAACAAAACTCAACCTAGACATAGAAGAAAAAGAGAAACCACCAACTAAATTGATGAACAATGAAACCAAAAAATCAGATCAACTGAAGAATACTACACAAGAATAATAGAAACGCGACAACTCATTCATAAGCCTTCAAATGGAAACGACAACCGATTAGCCACTATGAAAATAATGAAGAGATATTCTTAAAACTGTTATTAGTGAAATACTTCAGTCGCTACTCACCTGATCAATGCGAATGTTTTATATAGGTTTGTGACTGAACGTACACAGCTGCTGGCTGGTTAAAGCAACTTACTCAGTCTTGTCACCCAGAACATAAACAACCCAATTCCATCACACAGAGTACAAACCATACAAGTAACAACCAACAAAAGACACAAAACCACATGAGAGATGAAACAAGCAGTTAACGTGAGTACCTCCTTAAAAGAGCCCGGAAAATAAGCTACCAATACGCAAAAATATGACTAATCAATACTATGCGGTACACTGTTGATCAGCAATCACAAGACAGGAAGTAAAGCCAATGGTTAACATCTACCGTAGAAACAACTATTGAGCCGCCGTATCTGTGTCATGCTTCCATGTACTTCATATCTCCAGAAGGCACCACCTGCTTCACCAAATGTGCTTGATTGGAAGGAGCACTACAGTAATCCGTTAGAAATTGCCGATGGATGTTGTAATGAAAACTTGTACTCTTCAGGTTTAACAGGATTGGTTGCCAAGATTTCATTAGGGATCATCTTAAATTAACTAGTTAAGTGACTAGATATTAATACGGTACTAATCAGTCATTAGTAGGAGTGACTGTAGAATGACATTTAGAGTAACCACCCTTGGTATCCATAAAACAAGAGCAACTTCCAATCCCTTCCTGAAAGCTTGTTTGTGTCCTGTTATAAGCAGATGTATTTTTATGTAATTTGCCACTAAAACTAACAAGTGACCTGTTAGGACGAAGAGGAATACGGGCGGTACGATAAATAAGAAGCATGTACTACTAACTCCTAAGCACTGCATACGTTGCGAATCTAGAGATCCCAGGAAATTCAAGTACAATTAATTGTTAGACTTCACACTTTTAGGATTTCTCTCCTTTAGTCAGATCCAATGGGCAACTACGCTCTGTTCCACATGAAGTCTTAAGCAGGGACTGAAGACATTTGAGGACAGTTCGGAATTCAGCCTGCCAAATATTTACAAAAAACACCGGGAGACGAGATATGCTTGCTTTTGCGGAGTCTTAAGTGGAAGAAATACACAGAGAATCACATAATGTGATGGCCAGGTTTTTTCAGTGGTCAAGAGTATGACACAAGTCTTCTAAAGAAGTACCAGGTGGATAGAACATCAATACCCTTCCCCATTATCACTCTGCACTTACCGATATTCAAAGGGACCGAATGGACAATAGGGAAACCATGATGGTTTACAATTTCTGGTTTGGGTAGGTGAGAGCCATATCTCCAAATACTTAATTATACGTCTAGAAATCGGTTCTCTAAACACACAATGCGATGACCAGCACTATCAATTGACTTGAGAAGGCCCAAGTAGTCAATATGCACTGGATGGTCACGTCACAGCGAGATAGTCCAGGTATTCTAGGCCGGGATCAATCAAGTACTTGAAAAGAGTAGCAAGAATCAAGCAAAGTAAATATGGACATTGTCTAAAAGTTCTGTGTTGAATTTTGTTCAGTTATGCAAGTCTATATGGGATCAAGTGTCTGAAAATCTATTTGCGGCTACATTTGTTTTTCTATGTCAGATATTATTGGAGGAGTTAGCAGCGCGCCACCTAACTCTATGGAGGTCGATGAAATTGCGGACGAGTTGCAAGTTTTTGGGCTTGTCGTTGATGATAAGGTCGTCCTTGAGAAATGTAAATTGCGTACAGAAAGTGACCGTTCTATCTAGTAAGCCTTTTGGGCGAAAGGTGGGGCTTAAATGCTAGTACACTCGTGGAAAAATATGTCGCTTTTCAACGGAATACCGATCTACCTGATCATATTTCACTAAAAAATGTTGAACTTTTTGACAGAGAGGTAAATCTGACCTCTAAATCTCACATTGAAGACGTCGGCAAAACTCGATACCGCTAAAACTCGGACCCCTAGATCACATGTTCCAAAATCCGCAAAGAGCTTGTTGACAAAAAATATGTTACAAGAGCTGTATGGTCCTCTGTTTAATGCTCATTTTCTAGGATGGTTGCGGAAGCCTGCAGCGATCAAAGAGATTTGTTGAGTTCCTACGGTGTTTCGAAGCCATTGATTCCAGTACCAAATGGACGATTAATCCCATCAGACAAAGGTACTTATAAAGACTACAAAAATGTAGCCTTGTTTTCCTCATAGAAAATGAACCTGAACTTGAGTCCCATGAAACTCAGCTGATAGCGTCTTATCCTTCAGACACTGTTGAGTCGCTTATCTGTAATGGTATAACTGATTTCATTGACTGGACTCCAATTCTGCTGACTACCGGAGCCTATGGAAATCGATACATGAACCAACACACCTTGGAAAATGCAGAGAGTAGGTTTGATTTTTACAGTGTGGTCCTAGTGTTATACACATGCAATTTTGTCTGTCACAACTAATTCTTTTCGCATCATCTTTCCAAGTTTATTGCATGGCCAATTATTATTATTATTATTATTATTATTATTATTATTATTATTATTATTATTATTATTATTATTACGATACTAACTTGCTTCAGCATTCCAGAAATGTGGGTCAAGAATGCTGTTGTTAGAATTGCGAGTATTTGGATTTGATTAACCTATTTACCAAGTACACGTTTATGTATTTGCGCTATACTTTGTGATAGTTTGTGATATTACTACTACTACCTGACCGCTCAGACCGAAGTTGGTAGACCCGTGACTGAACGTGTAGTTTAGTTGTGCTGGATATTTTTCACACGAATGTTTTCGATGTGCTCTTGGTTGAATCTCCAGGAATATGTTAATAAGTATCACAGCAACTGCCTTAATTTTCTGACCATCATTTCTTATATATTACATGGCTCAAGATCGTTTGCAATGGTGCAGGTGCATACACTCTTTGTGTTCTCCCAAATTTTGATCTCCTTATTCCTCCTTGTCTCTTTTTTTCTCTTCCCAAATTTATTTCACTGTATTATACTCTTTAAATAACATCTCCAAACACTAATTTTCCCGATTACTGCTTATACTCTTATTACCTCTACCACTACGGGATTTGAATCGACCACTACATCTGTGTGCTAATGTGGTGTGGCAACTCGAACTGATGTACGTACGTACGAAGTTCTACATTGTTACTGACTGATTTTTTATATTGTCTCATTTAATACTAGTTTCCGATTAAATAACTTGAAGTTATTGGTTGCCCTTAGTTGATGTGTAATGGGGAGTTTTGTTATAAAAATGAGTTTTTCTCCACTTCTGACTTAGCTAATAATCTGGTACGTAGATTTCTTAAGAGTTTTGCGGGAACCAATAAACAAAGCTGCAAATGACTTTTGATCTCTTGGGTCATATAAGCTCTCCTGCCTGATAAGTTCATAAGACAGAAACTCTGAAACGTATCACTTTCCAGTAAACTATGTGGTTCCACCTAATTTTTTCGCTCACAGCATTGACGATTAAATACTTTTAACGGGATAGTTTTTTAGGATAGTGTGGATTGTCCTCTGTGAAGAGCACGTCTTGAGCACTTTAAGTTGTGTGTTACTCCCCATCAAGTTTGTCATACATTAAAACACCTGACCTAACCATCTCGGTCGATGAAGATTTACAACCTCACCAACTGATTCACCATCATTCCCTAATACCCCGCGTCTATCCTCACTATTACTTACCCGGTAATCCGAGCAGATGATGGCAGTATTTCTAAGACATCTGTGATCAAACACTAGTAGCTTACGGGTATCTTCTACTCTTAACGGCCACGTTTCGCAGCCGTAAAGTAGAGTAGAACGAACTGCCGTGCAGTATACTCGTCCTTCAATTGATAAACGGATATCTCACTTTCGCCATAGGTGACGTAAGTTGGCAAAAGCCGAATAAGCTTTTCGAATCCATGCTGGGATCTCGTCACCACTATCTAAATACGAAGCCAATCCAGTTTTCGCTCTTGTAATTGTCTCATCTGTGCGAGTCATTCGGAACACTACGTTATAATAGTTTATTCGGCAGATTTATTTCAGAAGCATTTCCCCCTTAAATCCACTATTGTATTGTCTGATTTTAGGATTATTTTAGACCTTTTTTCGTCGTGTAAATGGTCGGTATGTGACATGTCTTTACAAGCGTAAACTCTGTCTTCGTCACTTTCAAGAAACCTCACTTGTTTGTATTGGCCTATCATACTATCGGTTTTAGATTTATTTTACGGAGATAGAACATCTCGAGCGTCAAGTAAATTCTCATTTAATATCCTGATATTTACTTGTTTTCCTGGTTGTAACTCTTGAGGTCAAAACTATTATGTTTAGCTCATTCGCTTATGCCTTTAAAGCATCAGTCACGTACATTATCTTGCTTTTCGGGCTACATTTTGTCAATCTTTCTGTTGAGAACTAAGCTTTTTTTCAACCGGGTGTTGCTGATGCAACACAATACAGTACCCCAAATATAAATATGTAACGCCACTCGGCTTTTTATCCGTTGGTTTTTCTTTTAAAGAGGTGGGCTGAATTTTCTCAAGATTTTTCCATAGGGTAGCTGTTTAGCAGTTTAGGTGTCAACGAGTTTGAATTTACTTCAACCAACGCATTCACCAAAATTAACAATGACTCTAATTGTCACGTTCATTTTAAGAACATCAAAGCCCACAGCACCGAAATCCTCGTTTCAGGGTTGCATTGTTGGAAGTCAGTGGTCTCACCTTACTAAACCTGCAAATGGTAGACGTAAGATTCTTGCTAACATTTTAGTATCAGCTTCTATCAGTCAGTCAGCTACAACGTAGGACCAGGCACATATATGCATTAGCCTCTATACTCCACACTGCATGTTGTTTCCTACCCTTTCGCCTACTTCGGTATGAGAAACCGGGTACTGTTACAAGCTTTGTCACAGAATGAGTGAATCAGAGCTAAGTACACAGATTTTTACTTAGCAACTATTTAAAATTATTATTTCTAGTGACTCAGGTAAGTAGGAAGTTGTGATTAAAAACTGTCTAGATAGGTGGCCACTCACTTCTCCATATGTTATATTACTATTAATTAACTCATCCTTCCGGTAATTCGATATGAGCCACAGTCTATGTGAAGGCTAATAATAACTGGTTGCCTAAATCAAAGTAGATGAATCGGGTTGTCTAACTTGGAACTTAGTGGTTGAAAGTCAAACGCTTTAACCACTAACCCACGGCCTCCAAAATAGTTTGAAGTTGCCACACAGTCGTATTCTTAAACTGGTCATTTAAGAACGGTAACTGTCTAGATTTGTCTTAATTATTTCCACCCTAATGAAAACCAAACAAAGACTCAGCAGCCTTGATAATGATTTGTTTTCCATTTCAGAGTCTTATATTCATGACTAGCGCTATAATACAAAATTATTCGTTATCGATGAAATTTATAAATGCTTCACATGCCTAACCAATAGTTAGAAACTTTGGGCTATGTGGCTCAATCGTTTGCACTGGCGAAGGTATATTCACTCTTTGTTTTCATTCAGACTGTGGCTTTATAAAATTTTCTTTCATTCCACCAGTCTTGTTATAACTTGTGATGATGTGCTTACTGGGGTTTCCCCGCGTGGGTTCGAATCCCATCCCCGTCGCCAGTTGTTATAACTTGTGAGCCTGTGTGCCCTCTATATTGGATAACGCAACGATACCGCCAGAGAGCAGCGAAGTTATCGATCGAACCAGTGACGCATAAAACACAAGCGAGCAGCCTAGAACCCTGATTGGTCTCGCTTCCCGCCTAGTTCAGCCAGTTGAGTCCAGAACACCAATCTCAGCCTCTGTAATATGAACCATTTACTTCAAACATACAGGGTTTATATACTAATCAAACCGACCACAACGTACCATAAAATATGAAACAACATTTGTACAATATTTAGCCAAAAGTGGCTGTGAATGAGGGAAATAGTAATTAATAGACAGGTCATAATAATAGTTCATAGGTCAAAATAAAACTCATAATAAGAGGGACATGAATATGAACAGCTTAGTTACATAACAATTACACGATAAAAATATACTCATAGCACTGGCTCATAAATGCATTCCAAGAATTACCATTCATTATTCTTATCGGGACATAAATCTATATTTCCTCGAATCACATCTATGCCCAGTCTTTTCTATTACCACTAATAATGTTACTACCTTTATTAATCTAGGATTTACTTTTTACCTCTTTGTGTTAATGGAGAGTAGCAACACACATTCGCCAGGTTCTGCGCTGCATATAACTGGATGTTTCGTGTTAATAAATCCAGTTACTCTGACATGCGCTCGGCCTGATCAACCAGCACAAATTGTTGTAATCTTCATTGTAGTGTCCTATGTATCGCTAAGTTAGATAAATAACACGTAACAAATACACATTTTAACAGGTCATAGCCCAGCTGAAAACAGGGATCGGTTCTACTCCTGACCAAACACAATTAATTGATATCTTAATGCCAGTTAGTTACTTCAGTTTGGGCTTTTAGGGGCAAGTGTGAATCGCTAGTGAGTCTTCATTTACAGGTCGGATAATAAAAATAGTCTACAAGTCCATGATGTTGTAAATATTCATTTATTTAAATGGTTAAGAACGTTACTTATATTCAGTCACCTCCTACTACCCCCTCTACTGATTAACGTAAGAATACGTTTGTAAATTTCTTGGTAGCCGATTGTACCAACCATTTTTGTTACAAACAGAAGTTTGGCTAAAGCTAAGTATTAGCATTTTACAACATCAAATCAACTAATGAAACCACTGACTTTTGGTTTCACCTGTGCAAAATGGTAAAGACTTCTTGGTTTAATTGCCCAATGTGCCCATAACTTAAGGTTAAAATTTGGGATGATAACTAGCTCATGTACGGATATCCTTAATATAATAATATCCTATGCTTCTCTTTCAGTGAAACTACTTGTTTTCATTGTCATTTCTCAGTTTTTATGATATTCAGCGTGCCACTGAGCTTTCGCTTCTATTATTTTTTCGTTTGTGTTGGTAACTTGCATAGATGACTGCTTTGATCAAGATTTATGCTATGATGTTTCGGACCTTTAACGTGAATATATTTGTAACTGCCACTCCTTTGTATCACCTCTTTAAATTTTGATTATGATATAGTGTATGCTAAACTCATCCTTACTTTTTCGGTATTCATCAAAGTAGTCATCCTTAACTGGTCAAAGTAAATGGATAAACTAGAGTTCCAACCAAATATCAAACGGAGCTTAATTTTAAAGATATCTATCAACTCACTGGAGGGCATAGATAAATTTATTTATTTATTTGAACATATGAATATTGGTACAAAGGGCACTGAGTACATATGCATCACACAAGTCACTTGATTTGTGTGTTGGCTGTGATACTGCCCGGGTGCCCAGACCGAAGCAGATGGTTTTCTTAGGGGGCCATACCCGGATAAACCATGAAAATAACGAGTAAAGTCGCTTGTAGCTTAGCAAAATATCCTAGCCAATACTAGGTTTCAAAAGGCATTTTATAACTCGATATCTGTTCATATATACTGGGGAATGGTGAGTAAAGCGATTTCCCTTCTTCAAATAAGGACAGGTCGAAAGTAGGTAGACGAAAAAAGACGATGGTTGGTTTTATCCAAAGTAAGATCGATTGCTTTTGTGGACACGTAGACAATTGATACTATTTTGAAACCGATATCGTAGGAAATTATCGCGTCTTTGATCTTCTGAGAGGTCAAATGGATAAGTAGAAGTTATCTTGTAGGCATAATGCTACTGGTTACATACGAATTTTTTCGTACAGATTCGTAGCATCATACGGGCAAACTTTGTGTTGTCTTAAATTTAGTCTTTTTTTATCACTTTAGCGACAGTGAAATCTCCGTTTTATCGGAGAATTTTCAGGCATTGATCTCCCATCAGGAGGCGCACTTATTGACTTAGAATACTCTGATGATATAGTTCTGTTTGGTAAAGACGCTGATAAAATACAGTCTTTTGGTAGCACTGAGCAACAATCCCAGGATGTTTGGGACGCGTTTGTCCCTTTCTAAATGTAAATTGTTGCTTTAGAACTGACGTGTGTCGACAGCTGAACCAAGGATAGGGAGTGAAGCAGTCGAACGCGTAGACAAATTCACTTATCTTGGAAGTCTGACCAGCCCTAATGAGTTGGTGTCTGACGAAATCTCAGCATGGATTCGAAAAGCTTATTCGGCTTTTGCCAACTTACGTCACCTATGGCGAAAGTGAGATATCCGTTTATCAATTGAAGGACGAGTATACTGCACGGCAGTTCGTTCTACTCTACTTTACGGCTGCGAAACGTGGCCGTTAAGAGTAGAAGATACCCGTAAGCTACTAGTGTTTGATCACAGATGTCTTAGAAATACTGCCATCATCTGCTCGGATTACCGGGTAAGTAATAGTGAGGATAGACGCGGGGTATTAGGGAATGATGGTGAATCAGTTGGTGAGGTTGTAAATCTTCATCGACCGAGATGGTTGGGCCATGTGTTACGCAAGCCCAACTATCGATTACCACGACATGCAATGCTGACAAGTTTTGTGGATGGTTGGAAGTAAGTTGAGGGCGACCAAACCAAAACGTGGCATCAGCCCTTGAAATCATCAACTTCTGGTGTGAGTCATTTTGGTTGATGCAAACTAGTTGGTTGAGGTCCGCGAGACTATCGTAACCAATGTTGGGAGACCCTGGGTGACATGGCTCAGAATCGATCACAATGGCGTAGGTGTATACACTCTTTGTCTTCCCTTAAACTGTGAGATTAAAATTGCTTTCTACATTCCTTTCCACCAACTAGTTCTTTCTTCCTGTGGTATATCCTTATACACAATCTTTCTTTTATATATTACTACCATTGAAGTGACAACTATGAATTCGGTATTCATCTTGTTGTGCTAATGAGCTGTGGCAACTTGGACCGATGTATATATGTGCCTGGTCCTACGTTGTAGCTGGCTGACTTTGATGTCAGTGTAGCCATCAATGTTAGAATATGACCTGAAATCATAATCTTGTGTCATAATGTGGCGGTTAAAAAGTGGATTGGTGTCTGTATGCATTTCTAAACCTCCTATAACATTAACGGAGATATTTCTCTGACCACGAATAAAATAATCTACAAAATTGCACATTAAACAATCATAATGTCGGTCAATACTGTACCTTTTAAAGGATTGCTATTCACAAAGGTATTTTTGTGATCAGACCTACTTATATGTTAATTACTCTATTAGATTGGCTACTTTTAATTTTTCCCATGTATAAATATATCATGCGTTGTTTTTTTCTTATACAGTTATTGACAACTGGACATGGGAAACTATCAAACGTGTTTTGAGTAACATACCTGAAGGATCATTGGTTGAAGGCGATCAGAATATTCAACAATCTTCTCAACCTACAAGTCGGCAAGTTTCCCATCTATTATAGTAATATTTTTAAAAACATGGGACGAAATCTCAATCCTTATCTGTTTCTCCCTAAATATTGAACCGTTAGTCATACACACTTAATAAGCCAAATGAATTAACTAAATGTTTTGATCGAAAGTTGTTGTCTTGCTTAATCTGTGATGCACTATCGGGGATCCGTCTTCTAAAAGTATGATCACTAACTACTAAATTTCTGCCCACTGTTGTATGGGTTAAACCTGGTGAAAAGCTTAAGTAAGAAAAGTATTTCCCCCATAAGTTATTGAATGTATTGATCAATGTTTTAGGTTTATTTTGGCATCTAACTGTGTCTTTAAATGTGAAATATGTTGGCGAGTATTTATATTTCATTGGAGTAAGAGAAGTACTTTATCATTTAACCGACTATCAGCTAACTTAGAGACGAATTCCTATATGTGTTGACAAATGCATTGGCACTTAAAAGAGATTATGGACATAATCAAATGACGGTTCTTTGAAATGGATTTCGAGAGTGAAAATCGAGTGGTCTTTTAATCAGTCAATTATTAATAAAACCTCACGAAATAACCATGTTACAACAGTAACAGTAGTATTGGCAGTGTTGTATCCGTAATTTCCTTCAGAGTAAATTCTCAGTTAACTGTTACTAAAGCAAACCATCCTAGTTCTATGTCTAACACTTTGATATTTGAACGATTTTGAGGCAATAATGTTTTATATGTTAGCATTTTAACGAACTCTACTTTCTAGTTTCAATTCCTAGTCCAACATATCTGCTAAAATTTAAAAGATATATCTTTTGATTTTGGTGAAAATAAATGTGCATAAAGGACATAATCTGAATTTTCCTAGTAGTAATTATGAACATATTTCCAGAATTATATTTCTTTATGCAAATGCTGATTTTGTACACCTTTTAATTGATACATTCTATTACCAAGCAATGGTAAATTAATATTCACTGAATAAAAATTCCTTGACTTTATTCATACTTATGCTGTAAAATCGTATCATTTTTTAAAATCCAACTATCAATCTAGCGACTCGTTATCGTCATTAATAAATAAAAATGAATTCTGTCAACCAACGAGAACTGAAACTTCTACACTGGAACGTACAACGTTGTTGAGACCAGTTTTTTCGCGTGTCCTAGCTTCATCTCTCATTCCTGGAAGAGTTTCTGCAAAATTATCAGTACCTATCAAAGGATCTAGTGAATCTTCTCAAATCGCTGAGAACAGTAAACCTATTACTGAAACCAAAACTCGCCTACACGTATCAAATGTTGCACTAGTTGGACTTCGCCGAGTCGAACGTTCAGGATCCGAAACTGATGCCGTACCTTTGGACTTGGGATTTTCGAAAGATCTATCTTGTTATTCTGTTTATTCAGGTCAACCACTTTTGATCCGTGGTATCAACCCTACAGGTCATTCCCTGGGTGTAATGGAAATTTTCCAGGTTTGTCATAAATGTTTACTATAGTTTGTTTCCTTTCTTTTTACCCTATGAAGGAGTTCTTGAGAATGATAGTCTATGCTTATTCGTTCAATGTAATAAAGCATAAATTATACTGTAATTGGTTTCGACCACTTATCATTCAAGTTTATGAAAGTTATGGAGCCCTCTTGTATGATAACTTGAAAAAAATTAACATATCTAGGATTTGAAACATACTCATTATAAGTGTTAGGAATACCATTCACAATCACATTATCTACTTTAAATGAAGCGTAGTTAAGAACTACAATTTTAAAAATCTTTGTGTCAATCAGAGATAAGGACTTGTGAAAAAAGATTTGTTTGGGAGCATATATGAGATTGTAAACCCATAATTACATCTTAATAACAAAACGATTACTGCTAGTTTATTTGGTTTGTTTCAGAATAATACCAATCCCTCACGCACACCTTTCTAAAATTTCCATCCTAAATCATGTATAGCTACCATCATAAAAATTATATGAAGACAAATAGGTGTAAAAATAATAAAATTACATTACTTAGAGATATATGAGGAAACAAGGGACTTGGTACAACATGCCGTTAATTTTTTCCGATGTGTTTCAAATCATCCCAGCGAACAAACTAAAGCGAATCTAATAAACGTAAGATCAAACACAAGTAGATTTACAATATATTTGCTGTTTGGAGAAACTTGGATGACGAATCCATGATCCCTTCTGTAAATAATTCCTAAGCCACGTAACCTAAGCTGCTCAGTCATCAATTTCCACTGTTCTATGAGCTTTATTCAGATGTTTATCTGTTCAAATTCATGTTTCACACATCAGGAGAACTCGATTATCTTTCTTTCACCTTAACTGTGATAATTATACCTTAGTCCTTACCACTGGGACTTCTGTCACTATTACAGTCAGTGGCTTATGGTTTACGAGCGATGCTTCTGTTAATACAGGTTCACAATCTCATTACTTCACTTACCTGCCTGAACTGAGGATTACTGATTTATTGTTTTTACCATACATGTTCACTACTTTGAAACACACCTGTAATGTTGTATTTCTAATGGTTCATGCTTTCGAACCGTATAATAGAACGATATACCACTGTGCTGTATGCAGTTTGACTTTATATTGATGAATGTTTGGTAAGTCTTTGTATATTGATCACTACTGTCTATTTCTAAGTTGTTTGATGTCAAAGTTGTATTCACAAATTTTTTAAAATCTTTTAGATACCTATTTCAAAACCCCCTTTTATCAATCCAGATAAATGCTGTAAGTTTATCTTTATAATCATAAAGTTTTTCATGTGCGGTACTTAACGTGTCAGGCGGTAGCTGTCCTCGGACATCAGTATATATATGGTTATTGTCACCGACAAAGCTCAGTCTTGTTGATACCACTGAAAACCAGTGATCATTAAATAGCTGTTTTTTCCATTATGGGAATTCTCAGCAGCCGTCACCATCTCCACTAGATGATCGTTTCTCCACACCGTGAATTGATTGAGATTTGAAATTAATACCACTAGATTGACATCAAATGATCTAATAGTCAAAGTCACCGCGAGGCCTGAAGCTCTTCGGCTCGATCTCTGATGGAGTCGTAGGTGCGCACTACTTTAGAGTCATAACAGGATAAGTAGATGTCCAGTGCTCTCTGGTTTTCAACAACACCTCAAATGAGCTCAGTCTACTACTAATGCCGCCTACAATTTAAACTAATCTCTACAAAAAAGTTTAATCTAATCCATTATGATATATAGATACAAAGTTGGTAACTATTGCGAGCTTCAAACATCGCACTACATGCTTTACGCTGTTGCACACTATATTAAATATAACTTTCAAGTTTTTCTAACTACACCCATCCAAGTATTTGTGAGTAATCGTAATTGTTATTGGATGTGATGTTATAACTACTAAGACCTTTGGTAATGCTAGTGTGTATCTTTTTACTCTTCACCATGATGATACTTTAGGAAATGCCAGCAAACTTACCAAAAGATGGACTGCACAGTTTAGTTGATTTACAATGTGACTACTGGTGGTTGGAGTCCATTGAAATATACTATTAATCTGAATCTGGTCTTTTGTGGCCATTTCGTATCAATTAGTCTACTTCCGTGTCTTCATCAATGTATGCAAGACCAAATTCTCCTAAGTCGTTACTGAAATTCTTTTTCAGTTCGTGTGTTTACCCATTTAGTTCTGATGCTATTTCTTCTTTCGCTGTTTGAGCAGCTAGAAATTCTCTGTTTTTCACATCAAAAGTACAGCTCAAAGTCAAGTACGAGATCTTTATTGAGTTATATTTACTTTTGTGTCCGATATTGAAAAACCTAATCAATATTTGATTCATCGTACACTAAGGATGATAAGCGAACAAATCTGTGATGACTATAATGAGTCAACACATGACCTTGATAATTATGTGACACTTGTTTCGATCATAATAACTGTAAATCTAACTACAACTTCACTTCATTGTACATTGCAACCTCATGTTTTTCACATCCGCTAAACTTACTTTTGTAGTGGGAAACCTGCATATTATGGTGGCCTGTGGCCCTTATACTCTTTCAAATTCACATGACCCTACAGGCCTTTTTAATTTATTGCGTTCCGTCAAACAATCTAAACCCCATGTTCTCATCCTGCTTGGACCGTTTGTTGATTCGGAGCATCCTGGTATTCAGGTATATTACAAGTACTACTTTTGGAAACTTTTTATATTGTTGTGTGGAAGTAACTGGGATATAATAATAATGACAATAATAATAATAATAATAATAATAATAATAATAACAGTAATAATAATGATAGTAACAATAATAATAATTTAAAATTAGCATCTATTTAATTATATGGATCGGAAGGCAGTGAATAAGTACTGCGTAATTATCGGACGAGTTTATTTTGCACTGTCAAGTTAGTCTATGATGATAGCTGTTTTAAATTATCGTATCATCGGTACTTTAAATCCACATCATCCTCTCCTAACTGTTTTTTCTATCGAACTGGTCAATTCATGAGAGATTCGTTCTGAATGCATCTTTATATATACTGACTTCTTATTTACGAAAAGATCAAGTCAATCTTATTTATCCTATGCTTTATTATGAATAATTCAATGGCAATATTTGGCCATGTTTAGCTATACAAACAAATTTGAGCGATCGATATGATCATCTTGAAAAAAGGGAATGTTTCAGCAGAGAGTGTTCTATAGAATAGACGTTTGCTGCGAAACCGAAGTTTCTAGGCTCAACCCTCAATAGAGTCGTGGATGCACACCGCTGAGGATAGGACGAGACATCTGTCTAGTGCTTCCTAGTTTTCAATGGATGTCTAACTTAGGTCGGCTCGTGATACCACTAAAAATCATAAATTCATCTATTTATATTACACCATGGTTTATAAGACATAGAAATAAAAGTTTTGATTGTTTCCAGTGTATGACATTGGCTAATTTGAACAAAATGTTTGTATTTATCCCCTCGTACTAATTATTAAAATACTTTTCTCATGAATTTATCTCTGCAGATCATGAAAATGAGGTTAGTGCAAACCATTCACTCGAATATATATCCAATTATTAATTCAGACGTGTATTATTCATGTAAATCAAATGACCAGTAAAATTATTCCTTCCCATTTTAGTTCTCTGAGCTAGTCAGTCGGCGGTTTCTTTCCAGTTTCATTTATCTCCTTATGGTCGCCAAGTTTTTGGAACTAAGCCAAAACACTTTAAATCATATCCAGTTTGTTAAAGCAATCTATTAAGACTACACCTTCTTGCTTACCTGATATATTTGTGACTAAGCTGTCTCATTTTTTACCTTCTGTAAAGCTATACTGTTTGGTTATCAAATCTTCTGCAGCGTACTCAAAAATAAATAAGATCCATAAAGTACTGTCGTTACGTATTGTTTTAAGTCGTTTCCGGGACAACAGCCTAAACTTAAATTTCATTTATCCTTGCATGCTTCATGGAACATTTTCCGGATAACTGTAAATTCTAGTGAATTTTTGATAAAACTAAATCTATTATTTCAATAGTTGAAATCATGAGTCAATTGAAGCTAGACCACCATGGAACTTAGGACCTGTCAGTCTCGCATGTGAACGCTTAACCTCTAGACCACTGAGCAGGCATCCAACGGTGTTAATGTCTAACGCATTAACACCGTTCACATGCGAGACTGACAGGTCCTGGGCTCGAATCTCGCGGGGGGCGGGATCTTGGATGCTCACTGCTGAGGAGTCCTATACTATAACTAAACGGCCGTCCAGTGTTTCCAGGTTTCCTATGGTGGTCTAGTTTCAATTGACTCATGATTTCAACTACTGAAATTTCTAAAAAAATCTCCACAAAATTCCTGGTAAATCCATTATTGTTAAGCGTACGCTTTGAGAACTGCTCATGTGACTGTTCTTGACATTATCACGATCGAATTATGTAAACTGTAAAAGATTCCTATCTCGATTATCGTAAGAGCTTTCTCTATTAAAAAAAGTTTTTTTTTAAAAATTCGAATAGATAGTGCTTAAATATGCAATCGAATATATTTTTCCTACTAATCGTTATATTTATATTCCAAACCATTATTAGTCTTATTCTGAAACTACTTACGAAGAACTATTCCAATCTAGAGTGAATAGTGTCAGTGAATGGTGCAGTCATTTATCTATAAGGTTGATAATTGTTTCCTCCTGGAGAGAATTACATCATGATCCAGTGTATCCGACTCCACCTATGGACAAGTCGTGGATAGAAAAGACACCACATCTGGTCAGTACTGTAAATGTGTTTATTTCTATGATTTGTTATCTGATATGATTTTTTACAATCTACCTGTTATGTAGGTATTTATGCTTTAATGTGAACTTTATCGACTAATTTAACATAACGCTAGATAAATTTCTTGACAGATGCAGAGAAGTCTCAAACTATTAAGAATCATTTCTTAAGTGTTCCCTCATTTACTAGTGGACTGAATTTGGTCGCGATAGACTAGCTAATTATTAAAATGTGAAACCTCTGCTTAGTGATAATGTTTTAGGACGGAAAAATAATAATTTTAAACTCTATTTAATTTTTAGTCCAAATTTTTACAGTTCTATCAATTTTGTCTAACTTACCAATATGAGTGGAAGTGTAGGTTTGAATGCTTTATTTTTTACATCAATTAGTCATCTTTATCATCCTGCACATTGTTAGTTGAAACTGGATGTGTTTGACTGTGGTTTATCTATTTCCATTTTCGTTGTTCTGTATTCTTGAGAATACTGTCAGTATTTTGCTTATTGCAAAAAGTATAACATTATCTAATTTACTCTGTTAGCTTAAAAATAATAATGTGTATTTCTATCGTAAATTATAATTACTAAGGTTAATATTGGCATTAATGTGAATAATACTATAAGCATTCCATTAGTCTAAATTAAATCCTCCTTGATTATTTAGTATAGTTTCTTTTTCATATTCAATATAATTTATTGTTTCTAGTCATCATCATACGAAAAAGTTCAATTCGCTCCCGATCCATGTCTTTTCCAAATTGGGGAATATGTTTTTGGTTTAACTTCGGTTGATATACTTAAAGATCTTAGTTGTGAAGAAATCAGTGCTGGGTAACCCTTGTGTGTCGTATAAAGTTGTTTTCTTCAAATCATTTGTACTGTATTTGTTACAGCGTGTCCATAACATTTAACCACCGTACAAATTTATTACTTAGTTTTTAGTTGTTTTTTAATTGTAAAAATTTTCAATGTAAATGTTTTTTTTATAAAGCATAAATCTAAGAGAAGATAATGTTTCAACGGTAAAATGTGACTTTTATGTTCGACTAATTTTAGCCAGTTATAAACAAAAATAATGGGGCACAAATGTGTATCTATCCAAGTCGTCACACTACATCAGCACAACTAGATAAAGTCGAGAAAGTAAATATCAAATAAATCAAAATATTAGTAGTGTACTAGATAGCAAAAAACCTAGAATGGAAAATATTACTCGTAAAACAGGTAGGAAATAGAAGTATAGGATTTACCGCATTATACTAAAACGCCTTGAAAATCAGTTTCAATGTCTGGTCCATAAGATCTTCAGCCATATATCGATTTTCAGTATAGGGTTGTAGAGATTATTGAATTGTAATTAAGATCATGAACCGATTAATGTTAGACTACTATTAAAAACCTGGAAGCACTAAGTGTGTTTCCTCCTAGTATAGGGCTCCCCAGCAGTGCGCATGCGGGACCCGAACTTGGAAACTTTGGTCTCGCGCACTACTGCTTAACCTCTAGACCACTGAGCCACGATCAGTGGAGTTCAACTGTGCCGAGGCAGTTATCCACCGAAGTCAATGAAAGATGGCCGCGCAATATCGTGGATTAGTTGTAGTTAGACATTAAAACCATCGGATGCCGGCTCAGTGGTTTAGAGGTCAAGCATTCACGTACGAGACTGTAGGACCTTGGTTTTGTTATATCCGAACCAAGAACAAATGTATGGTATCTTCTAAGAGTTATTATGGACTATTATTTTATACATTCTTATTGGATAATTATTAAGTATATATATTCATACGCCTTTGACCATAAGCCTTTATTAACATATTGGCTACTGAAATACGATTTATCATTCTTAACTTGTTCTCAATTTATCAGTTACAGTATCCCACACACTTAGCCACTTTTGGCTTGGTTTTATGTAATTATTGTTTTTCATTTTATGGTGTAATGCAGTCTGGTTTGCTTGTATATAAACTACGTATGTCTGAAATATAGGATTCATACAGCGGAGGTTTATGCATGTGTTCTGGACTGAATGGCCTGGGTTAGGCAAGAAATTAATATACGGCGGACCATTAACGGCTCAGAGTTGACTCAAAGCTGGTTGTGCTGGTTAACGCATCATTGGTTTCGCACAAAGACGATGTCATATAATTCGGTGTTCTGGTTGGCGATTTTGTCACGTGATATTTGACATGCCCACAGGCAACAGGTTCAAGTCCTACGTGCGGAACCGCAGGTGCGCGCTGTTGAGGAGTCCTATACTAGGATGAAACGGCCGTCCGGTGCTTCCAGATTTTCAGCGGTGGTCTAACATTAATTGGTTAGTGATCTCAATATGTCGATTTTGTAGAGTGGACCCCAACCTCCAAGTCTGTGCTTTAATATAGGGCTCAAACTAGCATTTATGGTTATACCTACTAAAGGTTTTCCAGTCTATGCCACTTGTCATAAGATTAGTCAGATAGTTGTTTTGTTTGTTCTGTCTGTTTTAAAACAACACAACATTTTAGTAGTTGTTGGACTCAGTAGTAGTAGATTCATATTACGTAAGCACCTTGACATTTTAAAGTATGTTTACTATCCTTCATTTAGACAAATACCTCACTGTTGTAGCTGTATTTGTTAGATGGTTCCTACCGAAATTTGTTATGAAAACCTTAGATTAATTTATTTTTAGTAATAAATGTTAGTTTTGTCTTTTAAGAGAAATCGCGTTAAGATTTTTCCGATTCACATTTGCACAGTGACATTGATCTTGTGTGATTGATTGTTTCCGCTTTAGTTTGCTAATTTTGTCGTCAACTAAAAGCACTGTTGCTTGTTTAATCTAAAAAGTTGTTCTTTCACAGTTCTGACTTCGTTGACTATCAGGCTGTTTCCTAAACTCCTAACTTCATGTGTTCCATCTCACTAGGGATAATCGTCAAGGTATTGTGGGCCTGTTGCTTAACTTATTGATTTCAAATTTGATTACAATCGTACTAGAAGTCATATCGACCTTTTGCAATTAGAGATTACTGTAGTCGCAATCGTTTACAAGAACTTAATCAAACTCTGTAGTCGGTTTTAGGTTTTTCATAATAAATGCAACTGAAAGCTGTGTATTATGTAGTCAAATTATACAATGTTTCAGACCATTTGGTTGAAATGAGCCTTAATTAAGTTTGATGACGTACACTAACTAAACATTTTTATAGGGTAAAACGTAATAAATTGAGGAAAATATTATTAAAATTTTCATTCATTGGTGTTTATTCCAAAATTGTATACTAACTTGTTAGTGTTAAAATTACTTCACTGTTTCAAGAAATCTATTACAGCTGATACACTAGATGGAATTTCTGTTCAATTTTTTCTTGTAATTTCATAGTTGCTCGGGCAGTGATAGAATTACTCGTTTATGTCGGCATATTCTCGCCTCATCATCGTTTTACCCTGTACATCCCCCTGACGATGGTTTACCACTTGATTACCCTTTATGGAGTCAATATGCACAGTTTTCAGTCACACCACACTGTTTGATTTTACCGTCGAAATTGCGTCAATTTGTAAAGGTACGATCTCAATTACTGTTTATTTAATCATCGCTATTTCTGGTAGTTTTCAAGTTTGATGCTTAGATTGTGAACACAGTGAAAGTAAACATTGTTTTATCTTCTTTTGCCTGAAGTTTCCTTCCAGCATTAAAGCATTCAGCTACCAGCCCCTGAAACTTAAGTGATTTTGAGGCGATTTCGAGATATATGGCTGTAGGTACACTTCTCAACACAATCTCACTTGACAATCGTCCATGGACTGGTTAATTGATATTTTTGGAATTAGGAACCATCGAAATGATACCAAGTGAAGTGGACTTTTTAATAACTGAAAGGTTCATGTAATGGATATATTAGCTGACACTACAAATTGAATTAGTTATTTTTCAGTAGTCACTTTCAAAATATTACCGAGTCTACCAATCAGTCCTATTCCAGCTAGTGCAGTTAGTAATTTGTGGTAAATACACTAGTTGCTTGCCGTTTCGCAACATCTTATCTTAGATGCATACGAAGTCTGACGGCAGTTACGTAGGAGAATATGATGGCTATAATAAAATCACATCGAAAGTATATATATATATATATATACCCCTTCTGATAATAATCATCTCACTAGTAACTGGCTTCAAGAGGCATTTCCTGGAGTTATAGTGAGAAGCCGTTACCAGTGGAGTTCAACCAGGTCTGTTGTGAGATATAAACTCACTGAAGACAATGATGTACGGTGGCGCAACTTCGTGGATTGGTTGAAGTCAGACATTAACATCGTTGGATGCCGGCTCAGTGATCTAGTGGTTAAGTACTCGCGCGCGAGACTGATAGGTCCTGGGCTCGAATCTCGCAGGGGGCGGGATCGTGGATGCGCACTGCTGAGGAGTCCTATACCAGGACGAGACGGCCGTCCAATGTTCCCAGGTTTTCCATGGTGGTCTGGTTTCAATTGACTCATGATTTCAACCAGTTAAAATTCTGTATACGTCTATTTCAGCTAACCAATGAGTCTTGTCCATTGTAACAAACAAAGCTTTCGCTGAAGGTTTTTGATTTATTAGTTTTAATAGTAAGGAAAAGAAGTCGGTTTTTTTGGTATTCCTATAATATATTATCTTGGTGACTAAATCATTTAAGTTTGGTTTTTTCCATTCCCTACTCCGTACTGAAACATTTTTAAAATTAATTTTTAGAATGTAGATGGTGTGTTGTGCATCAATCCTGGATATGTATCAAGAGGAGAGGCTTTCGGTAGCTATGCTGAAATTGTTGTCAATGTGAATGAATTTTCAAGTTTAAATGGAAATAGCAACGAAATTAACTCAAATATACCGGATAACTTATCATCGGAACATTCTAGTTTCAGTATATGTGGTCGTACATCTGTTTCAATCAAACGCCTTTAATTCAACTTAATTTTAGAGAACATATTTCTTTTTAATGCAAACTTGGGATCTGTTCTGACTTTGTATTTTTTTATATGCTCAGTGTAAGATGGTTTCCTTGATAGAATATATTTCAGTCAGTCGTTTTACATCATCACCTCAATCGATTAAATTATCCTTATCAACTCGTTTGTAAAAAGTGTTCTGTCATTTCCGTATGTTTAAGATAACTACAGATAAATCGACAGTCCTTTAAATATTTCCAGTTGTTTGAATACCCTCAAAAACAGCTCTTTATTATTTAATTTAATTCATGATGCTGACAATTTGATATCGGATATAGGGTGATTTATTGCAACTATATGATCTGGTTTTTAAGTTAACTATAAAATCTGACTTATTTCCCTTTAGCTTTGTTTTCATAAGGAAGTTGTTAATTAGTCTCTAGTATTGCTAGCTATTGCGCTAACCCATAGCACCAACAAACATTACTGTCCGTAATTGCTTTCACCAATGCTCTCATTACAGATAGTAGCATATAGCTTTTTAAAAAGTTTGCTTCGTTCTTTCCTATTGACTGTATTTTAGTAATGTTATTCTTATTATACAGTTTAATAAATATATACGTATTGTTGGAAAATATTTTCCACTTTCCAAATGAATACTGCAATAAAGCATTATGTTTATCAATATACAAATATATATATATATATATATATATATATATATATATATATATATATCAGTCAATAACGTAGAACTTCGTACGTACATACATCAGTTCGAGTTGCCATACTACATTAGCAGAGATACAATTGTCGATTCAAGTCCTATAGTGATAGAGGTAGTAAAAGTGTAAGCAATAATCGGAAATATTAGGTTTTGAAGATGTTATTCAACGAGCATATTCCAGTGAAATAAATTTGGAAAGAGAAAAAAAGAGACACGAAGAATTCAGAAGATTAGAATTTGGGAGAACACAGAGTGGATTCACTTGCGTCATTGCAAACGATTTTGAGCCATGTCATCCAAGGTCTCCAACCTTCGGTTGCTATCATCTCGCGGACCCCAACCAGATAGTCTACACCTACCAACATAGCTCAGTCCACTTGTCAGTGACTTCATGGATTTGTGCCATGTTTTGGTCTGGCCACCCCTAGCTTTCTTCCAATCTACTCCTATACAACAAAACATCGCACATTGAGGCAGTCGGTCGTAGGGCATACGTAACACGTGTCCCAGCCATCTCAACTGATGAAGTTCCACTACATGATAAATTGATTTGCCATCCTTACCTAGTACCCGTTTCCTAACAAATGTATTACTTACTCGGTGGTCCCAGGATATACGAGCGATGCTTCGAAGATACCTATGATCAAATACTGGTTACTTACGAATATCCTCTACTCTTACCGGCCATGTTTCACTGCCATAAAGTAGGACGGAACGAACTGCTGCGCAGTAAACACGTCCTTTGGTCGATAGACGGATATCTCGCCTACGCCATAAATGACGCAAGTTGGTAAAAGCTAGTCGAGCCTTCTGTATCCGTGCTGAGATTTCGTCACACACCAGACCACAAGGGCTGATGAGACTTCCAAGATAAGTGAAGCGATCGACACGCTCAACTACTTCACTCCCTATCATTAGTTCGGGTGTCAATGCAACCCGATTCTGAAGCAACATTTTGCATTTCGAAGGGGAGAATCGCATCCCGAACATGCTTGCATTGCTGCTTAGAGTGGTCAGAAGACTCTGCATTTTGTCAGCGTCTTCACCAAATAAAACTATGTCATCTGCATATTCTAAGTCAACAAGTGAACCTCTCGGTAGAAGTTCAACCCCTGTAAAGTCAGATGAGGAAAGTGTTATCTCTAAAGGTACGTCGACGACAAAAACAAGAATTGAGCGAGTGGACAGCCCTGACGAACACCTTTTGAGGTAATCAATTCTGATGGTAGTTCGCCATAAGCTCTCACTCGACCAGTGGTGTTCGAGTAGAGAGAGCCTTTACAAGGTTAATGTACTTCTTTCAGTGACAAACACTGCCATAGAACCTCACTATCAACAGAGTGAAATGCCGACTAAGGTCGAGAAATACTACGATTGTGGGGCGTCTGGATGTGTGTCTGTGTTCTAGAACCTGATGTAGTGTGAACATCTGGTCTATACAGCCACGTCCAGGTCGGAAACCAGCCTGGTTTTCTCTAGTCTGCTCTTCGCGAGGTTTGGTTAGGCGTCGAAGTATTATTGAAGCTAATATTTTAGACACTATATTAGTCAAACTGATCCCTCTGTGGTTGTCACAAAAGGAATTTCGTCCTTTCTTATAGACTGGCAAAATCAGTGATTGAGACCAGTCAGATGGGATTACGTCCAGTTCCCAAATTCTACCTAAAACCTCAGTTAATCTCACTGCTAATACTAGACCACCATCCTTAAAAATCTCAGGAGTAAACCTGTCAGGGCCTGCTGCTCTCCCTCGTTTCAGATTTCCTATGGCTTTTTCAACTTCGTAAAGGGACGGAGGACTTACATTAACTTGCCATTCAGGTTGACTAGAGATCGTGGGAAACCGAAGTGTGGCTGAAGGCCAGTTGAACTGATCCCTAAAGTGTTCTGCCCATCGATCCAATCTCCTGGATTGACAATGAATAATATGTCCATCTTTCTCTGAGATTGTTTCGCTAACAGTTGGGTTCCTAATACCGGTTTCCCTAACAAGTCTGAATAATTGTCTGCCATTACCTATCGCCACTGCCTTGTCCATCTCTCTTGCTTTCGCTACCCATCACCGTTCACGATCATTGAGCTTGAGCTGACTCCGCTCTTCGTCATGTTCAGAGCCAGATGGAATGAGTTTCCGAGCATCTATCAGTGCGATAGATGCTGCTGAGATCCAGTGTTTCTCCCTAACCTTGTGGCTTGCTGTACTAGCAGATATCACTATTGTTTCCACAGCTTTTCGGATATCATTCCATGCTGCCTCGGGGTGAGCATCACATACATGGCCGCCTAACTGTTTTTCTAATTGTTCCTGAAAAATATTCTTAGTTTGGCTATCATTAAGTAGGACTAAGAGCTTTTCTTGCAGCGTCTTTCCTACGTCCGGTAAGACGCGGGCGAATACGCGCTCACAGTAGAGCATGATCTGAATCTAGGCATGTGCTCCAGAATGAACGAAGGTCTTCTACCGAGCCCCTCCATCGGTGGCTGACAGTGATGTGGTCTATTTGGGTTCAACGTTGGGACGAATTAGGGGATCACCATGTCAAAAGATGTTTTTGCTTATGCTTAAAGTTAGTATTTGCAAGAAAGAGGCGATTATCTGAGCATAGCTGCAACAGACGGTCGCTATTATCTGTTCTTTGAGCCACAACGCCATAAGATCTACCCAGGTGTCTTTCCCTTTTGCTTGGTTTACCTACTTGGGTATTAAAGTCACCAACCACTATTACTACATCCGAGCGCCTAGCTTTTCGGAGAAGGTCGGAGAGCTTTCTGTAAAACTCATCTTTTACATCATCAGAGCTGCAGTCAGTGGGAGAGTAGGCAGAGACGACCAAGAGGCAACGACGAGTGTCCCTATCTTTTCGGATCCTTACTGTTCCGTTTAGTCGGACAACGCACAAACGACTGTCTACTGGACTTCAGTCTTAGAGAGCTAGTTCTGCCCTAGGACTCAATGTTATTCCCGCACCGGCGAGGCCACGGGAAGCAGCATCAGGGCTTCCAGATACAAGAAGCGTGAATTGAGATGGTTCTTTATTTTGATATGGTGAGGTCAAATGAATGACGCTACTCGGATCCTGTATGCGTGTTTCGGAGACGCAACACACATCGATGGCGCGAAATTCCAAAGTCCTAGCTAAGGAAGCCTGTTGTTTTATTTGGCACAGTGTACGGACGTTAAAAGCTCCTACGTGTGGTTTAGAGCGTGGTTTCAAGAGACCAGGAATAACGTTCCGCGTATTCGAATCGTTCGCCCTAGCGGTGCGAGGTGATAAAGGGACGTGAGGAGGGTTAGTCGTGGAGATAAGAGAGGTATTAGGGGGTGTAGGAAAGATGTGAATGTGATCAACTTGGTCTCGTATGCTGTTATGGGTATGAGGGCTGATGTCACTTCCCGGCTGCCCACACCGTGGAAGGGTATTTCTTGAGGAGCCCGAAAAGGAAGTCGGATTGGTGTTGGTCTTAACGACCTGGGAGCGTGACCGCAGAGCCCAAAGGACAACTGCTTGAGGCTGGTCACGCACAGTCTTTTTGTGAGAGTTTTCAACGTGTTGGCTACGTTCTTCAAAGGGCCTTATCGCCGGAGACGGAAGTCCGTGAGGTTAGATGGGGTATGACATTTTTAGTGTCGATCTTTTCTAATCCCTTCCTTCCTTATGAGAAGGCAGAATGGCTGCAGATGCTATTTTTCCGAGAAAAAGACCCTACTGCTGTCACAGCCCTCTGCAACCAGCCGTATGACTACGCCCTCAAACCTTGAGTTGCTGCTTTTAGTTTTACTGTTCTCCGATCGACTTTCCTGGCATGGTAGAACCTACAAGAACATATGTTCCAGCCAATGTAGCTCGGTTGGGTCATCACGATAGGCAAGTCCGACCACCACATCAAGGTAGCAGCTACGGTCGGGATATATAATATCGTACACTCGTTTGTCTTTTATGTTCCAAATCTTTGTTGTACCCTGACGTTTTTATTTCATTCGGTATCTCATATAGTCTTGACACTACGAAGTTACGTTAGCGTAAGCGTTTCTGAATCTCAAAGATTCACTTACGAAGAATGGTTATAAACTCTTCTTACTTTTAATGTCTTAAACGTCCTTTATATGTAATCACTTGAACCCCAACTCAGTAAGATAAGTTGAATTAACCAGATTTATCGCCATTTGTCATCGGACGTCTATTGTCCTGATAATGTTTGATAATTCTTATACGATTGAAAACAATTAATAAGCCTGATAATAAGAAGGCGTAGTTGAAAAAAAAACTGATTAACATTTGAATTTTTAT